AAGATTTTATTTTATATTATGACATCAAACACATCTAGCCGAATAGCCGACTTAATTCTCATAACACATGCATCTCGTTCGTTGATTATATAAAAAATTCGTCCAGTTTGGGTCGGTTTGCATGAATCGTAACTCGAAAAGTTCACGAAGACATAAACGAAGTATCTTTTGAGAAATCTTTCACATAATTCAAATTAGTAATAGAACACACGAAAGATAATAAAAAAATGCTTGATTTGTCTTTACCTCGTTACGAGTCTCTTGACTATACTTCGCAGCAACTACAGTCATCGGGTCGCCTTCCATAAACTCACTTGTTAGAACCATAGCAGTTGTCAATCCTTTCAACAAAATTGGCACGCTAAAATCCTTATCTTCCTTCAGTAAATCTTGAAACCGTTCCATGCATCTCGCTTCACGAAAATAATCTGTCTCCCAGGCTAATTCACGTCTTGCGACTTTTATCGTATTCTCGAGATAAAGTCCTTTTGGCAATAAATTGCTAAAAGTCACCAATGTTCTAAGATTATCAAGATCAGAATCGATAGAGTTGGCCACTCCAGGATATTGGATTTTTACGGCTACTTTATAACCAGTACTACGTAATGTTGCTAAATGAACTTGACCTATTGAGGCAGCGGCAAACGGAATCTCATTAAAGTATGAGAAGTTCAGACGCCAATCTGGTCCGAGTTCATTTATCAAAACATTCTATATATTAAATGTTTAAAATTAGCTTAAATTTTTTAGCGGGCTTGAATAAATTTTTAGTTCAAAACCTGCCTCTAGCTGCCATCTAGGCATATAATCTGCACTATTTTGAACTTTTAACAGTAATTTTTCCAACGGCTCTGGTAACATTTTATTATCTTTTGCATATATTAAAAAATGTATAGATTTAAATATTAAATACAAAACATAAAAGCTCAAAACTAAAGTAAAAAAATATTAATAATACCTTGTATGCTAATCATTTGACCCATTTTCAATGCTGCTCCACGCATTTTCGACAACTTTCTCGCCAAACGGTCAATATTTGCTTCGCTCATCAAAAGAGAGCTTCCGCCTTTTTATTAATCAACATAATTTCATTATGTTATTGATACACTTAGCAGTTTAACATTGAATATTGGTCAATTGAAATTTCGACGAACTTGCGCGAAGATTATTTCCACGTATAACACGACGAGCTGCTTCTCCAATCGCACCGAACCCTAGTCCAACCGCAAGTCCTTCAAAATACATGATTATCATTTAATATATAAATTAGCGGGAGAAAATAATGTGTTTTTGTCAAATTACCGCCATATTGAAATAAGCGATCTATTCTGCTAGCTGGTACTTTTGATTCTTTTAATATATGTTTCAATTGCACCTAAAATAACGATTTTATTAAATTTTTCCATTTGAAAAACAAACCACGTTCTTGACATTTTTTTATCAGATATTAATTACTTTAGAAGACGCTATGTTCTCGTCTCTTTTGGTTATTTCAATTTCTTCAAATTTTGACTTCTCGATTTTCTTGTCGTCATTCAAAATTTTATTTTCCGATTCAACAAAATCTATTTTAGATATTGTCGTCTTTGTGTTAGCATTTTCTATTGTCGCAATTTCTAACGATGATTTTTGTGCCGGTGATGATGGAGGCGCTTCCGCTTGTTCTTGAATTTTAAAATTATGATCTTGAGGAACATTTATCGACCAGCGCCAATTCGAGGTTTTAATAAAGAAATTTGCATTTTCTCGTTGTAATGATAAAAACTTTGATGCAACTTTTCGAGATGCATGTGTTATGAGAATTAAGTCGGCTATTCGGCTAGATGTGTTTGATGTCATAATATAAAATAAAATCTT